CCCCCCCCCCGTAGCTGGTCTTGGCAGGAGTCAGGGAGCCTGCCATTCCTCGCTAGGGGTTAGCAGCCTAGGTACTACTCCCTGCATAGAGTAGAGTAGATCGGTGGGCATTCTTAGACAGTTTCCCTTTCGGTACATAGCTGTTCCGCTACACTGCATAAATCTGGAGTTCTGTTGTGCTAGATATATGGGTAGATATTCGGTATGTTGTTATCGATTCGGGATTTACTTAGTCTTTTTCAGAGTTAAAAACTTTCTATATTTGGTATTTCGTTACCAAAACACACTCCAGAATGTTCGGGATTTACTTGGTCTTTTTTAGAGTTATATACGTATGTATATTCGGTATTGTGCTACCAAAACACACCTCGGGTTTCCGGGATTTACTTAATCATATTTCGAGAGTCATATAAATACATATATTTAGTGCTTCGTTACGGAAATTTGGATGGAGTCGTGGGACAACACGGACTGAATATTGATGATGCCAACTCACCAATCAGATCCAAGGATGGCCCACCAAGACCAGTAGAAAAAACTTAAAAAAAAAACTGCAGACGTGAACGGTTAGCTGAATGTGGTCGAATGGTGCACACATGTAATTGTCGGTAAATGGATCATGGGTTCGGATCCTGAGCAAATCAGAGGGATACAATAACGCTAAGGGCTACCCCCTTTACAAAAATAGAACGCAAAGGAAAAGCTGGAGACATGCACAACACCCAACCACAAAATTGCATTCACTTCACTAGTTACGCTGCACAGTTTATTATATGCTACGATTCGTCTCACTACACAGTGGTACATTACTGTCTCCTACCGACATGACCCAGCCGGAAAACTGTGAAAGATGCCACTGAGCATGGCCTCGTGATGCCATGGTACAACCACGAATGTCGCCATCCTATTTGTGCTGTCGTTGGGCCATCGGACAAGCACGTGACCAAAAGACACAACAACCTCCGCACCCCTCCCCAAACAGGACCTAGATTCTAGGCCAACTGGCTATACCTTTGGCCATGCACGATATATTATATGCTATGGTTCAACCACAAACCTGTTTGTGTTGTTGTTGGGCCATCGGACAAGCACGCAACCGAAAGATACAACAACATGTACACCAAAACACAGCTGACACACAAGCAAGTGACCGGAAGATACGACAATCAGACAACCAGAACAGTGCTGACAGAGAGGATTGTTGTGCGCTGCGCAATGGGCCTTGACAAGAAGATGGGTCTTTCACAGGCCAGGGACTGTAACAGCTGGATCACCACCAAATGAAAGTGCAAACAGGGTATCAATGTCGACTGCAGCAGCGACCTTTGGAGCGTCCAAAGGTCACCGCTCTGAAAGCCGACGGAAGGACAAACTTGGCAATCGAATTTGACAATAAAACATAGCACAAACCCACTGGAAATTTTGACATTGGATGTGACCCAAAGACAACAGCGAACATAGTGACAAATTGTCCTATCGCTGCTGCTGCAGCTCACCAGCTCCATAAGGTGGGGGGTTATCCCAACCCAGTCAGATACCGAGCCAGGCCTGCAGCCATAGATTTCCATCTATAGATTGACACAGAATACCCCTCAGAGACAAGATTGGTGGGACGGAAAGGAAACTGCCGGAGGTGCGGGAGACATCTGCTGTTTGTTCACACCGCGACTATCCTGGGGGATGAATGCAGTATGTTGCATTCGTTAAGATTGGGGTAATACCTTTCGCGACCTTTTGGCTAAGGTAATTGCAGTATTTTTTATTTATTTATTTGTTTTATTTGGACCATTTCTCGATTTATGCGTGTCATCCTTGCGCAGGGGCCATGCTAATCTTCTCTGTATCGTTCCAATTTTAACGGATGTTATCTGTTCTGATCAGTTTAATAAAGATTCTTTCGGTAAGCACACCATCAGCCAGTCGGCATGAATGGCCAGTCCATGCAAAAAGGGAAAAAGGAGGGAGCTGGCCAAGACGACAGAGAGGTCAGTCAGTGGCCGGGTATGACTGCCATCTCCTGCATAGCTATATCGTAAATCGAGCATCAGGCTCGCCGAATTCTCACCTCCATTCTTGATAGTAAGTCAGGTGCACATGTATCAGGCTGCATGCTGAGTCACCAAATGAGTTCACTTGAACTCACAACTCACCAGATGACTTGGCGGACAAGTTGCCAGATGAGCTGCATGCCGTGTCAGGTTTACTGATGTGTTACCTGCTGTAATTATAACTGATGTGTTAGAGGATGAGTTAAGCAATGAGTTAACCAGAAAGTTAACTCGATGGATTGTCTTCTGGGGTCACTAATGAGTGCCTTATGAAAGAGTTACACGGGACTCGGCGAGCTGTTAACTAACCAATGAGTTAAATAAAGAGTTAGGTGATGAGTTTGATGATGAGATAAATTATCTGATAAGTTGTGACTACTGAGTAACCGATTAAAGAGAGCTAAAGCCCCACTGCACAACAGCCCTACATCAAGATGTGCTGGTATACGAGGGGCCTACGCTTTCGATGTACCGGAACGGTCTGCGCTCCATCAAACACCAGTACATCGCATTAGACAAACAGGAGAATCGGAATCGAGCCAATTCAAGAATTTTGGAGGGTCGGGGCTACCGGACCAAAACGGTTGGTGGCACCAGCCAAAAGAAAAAAAAAAGCGCCACACTCGCATTTCGGCAAAGCTCAGTGTGCAGCGGGGAATCCGCCTCTGCAAGAAGAGGCTTGGATGTACTGGTGGTTTAAATTATATCATCATCATCCGGTGGAAAGGCTGGTCTGCACCACATCAAAGATCGAGAAAGGGAAAAAAAAAAAAAAAAAAAAAGGAGATTAGGAACAAGGGTGCTCGAATTAGAGGGGATATTATGTATCCGCCCGGCGTGGCAGATAGACAACCGGGAAGGAGTATGCAATGTACCAAAGGAGAGAGAGGGAATATTTTTCCCCTGGTGACGAGGTACGCTTGCCGCGACGGCCAAAGGGCGGTGGCAGTTTAATTCATGAGTGAATTGAGTAAGTTAATGGGCGGCGTCAGTATAATTCACGAGTGAATTGAGAAGTTAACTAACTGATGAGTTAACCAATGCATTAACCTGGCAAGTTGACCAACGAGTCAACTTCATGAATGACCAATGGGTTAGCTCACAAGTTAATCGGCGAGCTGCACCTGTTAAAAACAGTGGATTGACAGGGCTAGTCAAAATGAGTTAACGGACCTGTTTTAAAAAGCTACCTTACCTTGTAAGTGTTGGCTGAATGACGAGTTAAGGAGGCTAATAATAACCAGCAGTGTTGGCTGAATGTGTGCCATGTGGATGCTGAAGCCTACTCCTGCCAAACAATTAGCTAACAGATTGGTTCATGAGTTCAGTTACCTGATAAGAAGTTAACTGACAAGCTAGATGATGAGTTAACTCGTTAGCAGCATCAGGTTTTTAGCTAACTGAATAGTGCATGCACATTGAAGTTGGGTTATAAATAACCAGTACACGCCTCACATCGGCCGCGGCCCCCTGTCAGCGGCCCAAACGCGGCGCCGGCCTCCGATTTATTTTGTCGAGGGCGTGCCATCACCGACTTTTTCAGACCAGGCGACGAAACATTTTCAGCAAGGCTGCTGGGGCCGTGTACTGGCGGCATAAGCATCAGTTTTAACTAACTGAAGAGTGCATGGACATTGAAGCTGGGTTGTAAATAAGTGGAAAAAGGCACAAGTTGTCTTTATAACTCGGTTGGGAAAGGCACAAGGCATCAGCGGCATCAGCACACAGCATATCGCACCGCTCAGACCACCAAACCGAGATCCCAGAAGAACCATTGTCTGTGCCCGAGAGGACGGGGCTGACATCTCAGCGTCAGATTTCAGCTGTCCAATTCAGTACATAAGAGGAAGACGGCTTTTGACAGGAGGAGGGCACACCTTACCAAGGACACGGAGTGAATAGGAGGGCGCTGAGCGAACTTTTTCTTCGTTTTTTTTGTATTTGGCACTGGAAGGAATCTCCAGTAGAAAGGGCTTTCCTTTTGCGCTGAAGGAGCTTACGATCCAACCTTTGTTTTTCTTTTTTTCGTTTTGCCAGTGAAGAAACTTACCATCCAGGAGGAGGAGAAGAGAAAAAAAGGGAAGACACAAGATGCTTACCGTTTGTATGACATCAAGTTCACAGAAGTAGTACATCTTTGATGCCACCATAACTGGGGACTGCGCATGCTTACCTCCCCATGAGAGTTTGTTCCAGCACTCCTCCCGATGGGCAAATGCAAATCGTGCCAGGGCCCGGGCGCCATGGCGATGGTCGCCCCCACCAGGCCCTGCAAACTGCTGAAACCAGAGTATGATCCGCCGGGCACTACCTGCAAAATACCAGACCCAAAAAAGACATAGTATGCATTAGCAAGTCCATGCACCAGTCCGTCGGGACATCCATTAAAATTGGAACGATACAGAGAAGGGTAATTAGCAAAACGGCCCCTGTACAAGGACGACATGCATAAATCGAGAAATAGCCGATGGAACAAGTTTACCAGTAAGGATGGGGCAGGTACTGTTTTGCACTTCAGATTCATTCAGGAATGCGCAGGGGCAACTACTGACAGTGTTTTTCACTTTATATTCGTTTGGCACGCCAAGCAGCGCTAATTTTAGACATTGGAGGAGGGGGAGAGTGGGGCGCAGGTCATAGTTAGCGAGAACTCAGTGCGTACTGAATACATCATCTCTGAGTCGGATTGATGCATGCTGTTCAGCGTTGTAGGGCGTCCTAGTGGACACAAATTCGTCTCGGCATATAGACAATCGATTTTTGTTTGTCATAAGGTCTCCATTAACTACTCTGCAATCAAGTGTGCGATGATGCTCTAATCACACCTTATCACACACTTGTCGTAAGGTGTGATTAGAGGAGACCTTACGACAACGGCCAAAGTCTTGCCCTAAGGGACCCCTAGGGCCAAGTCATTTTCTCCCCTAGGGCAAGACTTTGGCCCTTGTCGTAAGGTGTGATTAGAGGAGACCTTAACTACTCGGCATATAGACCTTACGGCAAGGGCCGAAGTCATTTTCTCCCCTAGGGCAAGACTTTGGCCCTTCTCGTAAGGTCTCCCATAATCGAAGTCGGTACTATCGTAGTGTGATTTACTGCTAAAAGAAAAGCACCAAAGTCTTGCCTAGGGGAGAAAACGACTGCTTCACAATCTGGATTGAATAAATTGTGAGAACGGCAAGAGGAGAATATATGAGGCCTTCAAGTTCTGCAGGTTGACTTCAAGACTGAGAACCGTAGCAGGTGTATCGTAGGACAGAGTCACTCTAGAACTTGTTTTGGCGGGTGGACAAACTTATATAGAGCCAAACTGCCCTTCGGAACGTCGGTTTAAATCGGACCGAAAGAGAGAAGAAGATTAGCATGGCCCCTGTGCAAGGATGACACGCATAAATCGAGAAATAGATTTCAAGCCAAACTAATCCCAAGAAGAAAAAAGAAAGTGCACGACACTGAACAGTATGCCCAATGAGGGGGGCTAGCATGGCCCTCCAAAATACGGATCCAGTAGGGGCTCTACTGGGATTTTGAACTTCGGACAACCGAGGCCTTTTACATGGCCACCATTGATTGAGGTGGGTTCAATAGAATAGAATGACCGAAAAGAAAAAAGAAAACGACGCCCAGAATAATGCACAATCCATACTGATGACACTGAATAGCACACCCAATGAGGGCATATCATGACCCTCCAAAATATGGATGCATCGGACAGGCCTTGGTAATGCCCAGCATTCAGGGGCGCATAGATTAACGCTTGTTCACACATTGCTACAGAGTGGGTGCTCAGGGTGACCCTTCTCCACTACAATGCATAAAGGCCTAGAGTAACCATTTCTATCAAATGACGGTTTAGGAGGACCCTTGTAAATTGGGTGACCCTTCTTCTTCTTCTCTACTCTGGAGAACGGTATTTGGGTAACCCTTGTGCATTTTAGGTGGACCTTTCTGAATTGTGTGATTCCGCAAAAGCGTTACCCTAAGCCCTAAGGGTCAGTCACCCAACTTAGAAGGGTCCTCCCACCCATAAACCCTAATTTGTAGAAATGCGGAAAGGTGTGACCCCAAACCCATGCATGAGGGTTTGGAGCCACATCTTTCTGCATTTCTACAAATTAGGGCTTATGGGTAGGAGGACCCTTCTAAGTTGGGTGACTGACCCTTAGGGCTTAGGGCAACTCTTTTTGAATTTCTACTACCAAATTAGGGTTTACGGTTAGGAAGACCCTTCTAAACCCTTATGATTTACGATAACACTTTTGCATGCCTACCAAATTAGGGTTTATGGGTAGGAAGACCCTTCTAAACCCTTAGGATTTACGGTATCGCTTTTACATGTCAACCAAATTAGGGTTTATGGGTAGGAGGACATTCTAAATCGGGTAACTGACTCTTAGGATTCAGGATAACCCTTTTTTTATTTCTACCAAATGAGGGTTTAGCAGTAGGGAGTCCCTTTCTAACCTGGGCGAGCCATCTACATTACTACCCGGTAGTCACAAGGGTTTAGAGTGATCGCTCTACATGACCGCCCCACACATGAGAGTTTAGGGTGACCCTTCTACATCGAAGAGCGTACCCAGAAAAGCCATTATTTCCTCACTCCCGCTCTTCGCCATTGACCCTCCCTTGGCAAGATCACAGGTCATCGTCTTCCCCCTCTCTACCATCCGATGCCCTCTTCATGCCCCAAGTCGTGATTTCATCTCCCTTGCGGGCACCCAGTCTTCCTTCAATAGGATAAAGGCGACTCGCAGTTACATGAGAGAAGAGCACACACAAAATGATATAACTTGATCTCTAGACATTCATTTGTCGTCACCATTGACTATTAATGATGTGGAATGCACTCAATGCTATGAAAGAATCTGCAGAAGAAAGAAAGGGAGGAGCGACAAACAATGGCCAAGGAAGTTTCCAAACACTTTCTTTGATGAACAGAGCACAAATTCACGTGTCCTCTCTGTCTCGATACGCAGACATTCCCCACGCGTCTCAAGCAGCTGCACACTGCTCCCATCAGGGGACACACCACCTTGCAGCTCCGCGAACATTCCCCAAGAAGAAGAAGAAGAAGAAGAAGAAGAAGAAGAAGAGGAAGAAGAAGAAGAAGAAGAAGAAGAAGAAGAAGAGGAGGAGGAGGAGGAGGAGGAGGAGGAGGAGGAGCAAGAGGGGAGGAGGAGGAGGAGGAGGAAGAAGAAGAAGAAGAAGAAGCTTCATACTTGCTTTCAACAGCCTAATCAGGAGTTTTTCCTCAACTAGATTTGATGAACATTGCAGAAAAGTGAAATAAAAATAACGACCAGGGTCGAAGCGAACATAACTCTCTTTTTGACAAGCAAAGCCTATTGAACCTGATGCTGGATCGAATTTCAAATCGATTTGTGGCATAGAAAAAAATATGGGTTGATTGCAAAAATATTGCTCTTTCCAAGTTTGACAGCAAAAATGTTGTCCGTTCGAAGTTTCCTTTGCAAAAATAGCCTTCTCGTTGCAGCTTTACCGGGTTCCCATAGTTTGCCAGCAAAAATAAAAATACAGCGTTTTGCCAAGTTTCACAGCGAAGGACCCCTAGGCCTCTGGCCTCAGGTACTCAAGGACTCAGCGTTCTGGCCTCAGGTACTCAGGGACGCGTTTTTTTTTTTTTTTGTGGGGGGGGGGCATGGCCAAAGCATCTCGGCCGTGGCACAGCCACGCGTCAAGATGCTTTTTTTTAGCGGAGGCATCTCGAGCGTGGCCACGGCATTTAGGCCATGGCACAGCCACGCGTCGAGATGCTTTTTTTTTCCCCTTAAACACCAGGTGTGGCCGCGGCCGCAAAAAAACAAAAAAAGGTGGCCGAGGCATCTCAGGTGTGGCCACGACGGAGATGTCTCGGCCGTAGCCGCAGAAAAAAAAAAAAAAAAAAAACGTGGCCGAGGCATCTCTCGGGTGTGGCCAAGGCCGAGATAACTCGGCCACGCCCGTGGAAAAAACAAAAAAAAAAAACTTGGAAAAAAAAATTGCTGCATCCCTGAGTACCCGAGGCCAGAATGCTGAGTCCTTGAGTACCTGAGGCCAGAGGCCTAGGGGTCCATCGCTGTGAAACTTGGCACAACGCAGTATTTTTATTTTTGCTGGCAAACTATGGGAATCCGGTAAAGCTGCAACGAAACCTCTATTAGTATTTTTGCAAAGGAAACTTTGAACGGACAACATTTTTGCTGCCAAACTTGGAAAGAGCAATATTTTCGCAATTAACCCAAAAAAAATGCATATCAAAATAATCTCGAGATAGCACTCTGCCATCACCGCACCAATGAAGTGCGTCCACCACTCGCTGGAACAGAGAAAAGAGGTCAAACATCCCAAAAATAAATAAATTAATAAAAAAGAGGTCGAACAGCAAAGTTTTGACTCAATTAATACAACTCCGATGTTTTTTCATCGCGGCTATGCATAAATTATTACAGTATTACTTGGAATTCAGCAGCATCACGTCCTAGCAAAATGCACCATAACTCCTCCAGCTTCTTCCTCCTTTCAAGTTGCAATCGCATTTAGTGCGAAAAGCACTGAAACACTGATCGACAGAGAACAGAACAGAGAACAGAGAAAGGAGAAAGGAGAAAGGAGAAAAGAGAAAATTGAAGAGCAGATTAAAAAAAAAAGAGAAAAGGCCTTTGGTAATTTTTGTGAACAGTCAAGATGACTGACTCTGTTCTTTTCCCTTTGCCGAATCTATCAAACTCACCTTTGAAAAAGCGGCGCACCCATTTTTGGCAGTTGCGGGCTAAAAATCCGCCAACCCAACGAGGCCTGTTCTCACAAAGCAACAGAATCAACTGCCTGGCAGCAGCGTACCTCTCTTCTCCTTCTTCTCCCTCTTCTCCCTTTCCTTCTCCTCCCACTTCTTTGGTTGCTTTGGATGACGAATTCCCACTGATAGAAACACCTCTGCCGCCTTCGATATCCCTCCTGGGTTCTCCTTCACTACCATCTCTGAAATGACCAGGAACAAATGCAAGTAAGCAAATTGTAGTCTTCCATTTTGCATATAACGTGAAACAGAACTGCAGAGAGGACTAGAAGAGGACAACAAACGAGGGGCTGTGACAAACTGTTTCATCGGAGTTTCACGGACTCGTCAGGAGGCTGAAATCTATCTATCTATCTATCTATCTATCTATCTATCTATCTATCTATAATTGTAGTCTTCCATTTTGTGGATATCGTGAAACAGAACTGCAGAGAGGAAGAACAGGACAACAAACGAGGGGCTGTGACAAACTGTTTAATCGGAGTTTAACGGACTCATCAGGAGTCTGAAATCTATCGATGAATCCATCTATGTATCTATCTATCTATCTATCTATCTATCTATCTACCTATCTATAAATATATAGAGATACATGTGCATATAATCAATAGTCATGGCAACAGGACTGTTCACTGTTTTTTTTGTTTCTTTTTTGTTTTCTCTTTTTATGTCTGTGTGCATGAGTTCTAGTCAACGCAAATTGACTCCAATGGTCAACGCAAGAAAAAGGAAAGGAACTGTAACTACCTTGATTCCCCCGAATACAACGTACGGTCATTATAGCTGTATTTGAGGCATCTTTCAGTCCAGATACAGCTATAATGACCGTACGTTGTATTCGGGGGAAGAAGGTAGGGCCATACTCATGCTATCTTCTTCCCCCGAATAGAAGAATACACCTAGCTTATTTGGGCCAACTTTCTGTCTCGATACAACGACAATTACGGTGCGTGCTATTCGGGGCAAGACGGCAGTAGTATGAGTATGGTCTTAGTTACAACTTACAATTCCTGTCCTTTTTTTTTTCTTTTTTTCTTTTTAGATCTAACATTTTAGTCATTTCTTCACTTCCACCCAAACATTTAATCATTTCTTCAGTCCCGACCTATCCGTCCGTTGTCGGGATGGAAAGATAAGAACCCATCGTGGGGTTGGCAAGGACGACGGCACAGTGGGCTGAGATGGAGCGCTCTATTAAGGAGGGGGGGCTGGGGGCGGAAGGGGGTTGAAAGGTTGGGGGAAAGGGGGGGGGATGCAGTCAGTGCGGGATCTATTGGGGCCCATCGGCTCTTGATTTACTTAAGAAATTGTCGACGGACTTGTAGATGGATTATCGCTCTGGGAAAAAATCAGCCTCGTAGAGAAGGTTTCTCTCTTGGATTGGATATTATTGACATTTTTCAAACATCTCTTTGAGCTTCATCCACATGTTGTTGGGTTGGCGGGAAGTGAACCGTTGCTTTTGTATGCTAATCGGGTTAACCATATTTATTTTTTAATTTTATTACCATCACAGGTCTGACGGCCGGGAGGGGTTAACACGAAGAGATCTCTTCGCCGGGGGG